ACCCCCAGGTAAGAGGATCAGGTGGGCAGGTCAGGGCCCAGCAGCCTCTCCCTTGGCCCTGTGGCCCTGTCCCACAGGCTCCTCTCCCTAGGGCCTCCCCACTGCACTTTGTCATTCCCAGCAACCCCAAGGGCTGGGCGCCCTGTCCCAGACCGTCATCGGCACCCCAGCCTAGCTGTGTCCTCCTCAGGCTCCTGCCTGGGTCACCCTGGGACGGTGGGTCTGCGTCCTCATCCACTTTCAGACTGAGACTCCGAATCCACACCCCTCTCTCTGTCCCTTCTGACTCCCCTTCCCCGACTGTGGCGGTTGGGCTTTTGTTCTGTCCTCTTCCCTGGGCCCCGCATGTCCCTTCCCATCACCTGCTCTCCCCACCCCATTCCTGGGCCTAATGGTGCCTGTTGCCTCCCTGGCCATCATGGCCCAGTGTGTCCCCCGTGGCTTCCCTCTCTGCTCCCTGCCCACGAGGGCCTGTGTGTGATGTGCTCTATGGTTCGGTTTGTGTGTTTGATTTGCTGCAGGGCAGTGGTTCCGTGAACGGGAGCCCCTTGCTGTCGACATCTGGTGCTAGCACCCCTGGGCGCGGTGGGCGGAGGCAGCTCCCCCAGACGCCCTTGACTCCTCGCCCCAGTATCACCTACAAGACGGCCAACTCCTCACCTGTCCACTTCGGGGGGGCCCAGACCAGCCTCCCTGCCTTCTCCCCGGGCCGGCTCAGCCGTGGGCTTTCCGAACACAACGCCCTGCTCCAGAGAGACCCCCTCAGCCCGCCCCTGGCCCCTGGCTCTCGGATCGGCTCTGACCCTTATCTGGGGCAGCGTCTGGACAGTGAAGCCTCTGTCCACGGTCTGCCTGAGGACACGCTCACCTTCGAGGAGGCTGTGGCGACCAACTCGGGCCGCTCCTCTAGGACTTCCTATGTGTCCTCCCTAACCTCCCAGTCTCACCCTCTCCGCCGCGTGCCCAATGGCTACCACTGCACCCTGGGACTCAGCTCGGGTGGCCGAGCACGGCACAGCTACCCACACCCTGAACAAGACCACTGGTGCTAGCTGCACCGTGACCGCCCAGACGCCTGCATGCAGCAGGTGCGTGTTCCAGTGGATGAGTTCTATCATCCACATGGGGCAGCAGCCCCTAGGGGGAGGCCTCGCCCACCTTAGTGAGGCTCCTGCGGCCCCTCTCTCCCTCCTCCCCTCTTTTATTCTAGATGACGAATAAAGCCCTGTTAGAGGATGCGGCTCTTTCTGTCCCCTTCCTGTCCTGCCTTCCTGGGTCTCGTACCACACACCAGACCCTAAACTGGAGGCTGCTGTGTGTGGCTGAGAAGGACCCAGGAGTCCAAGTCCCGTATCCTGGGACTCAGCATCCAGGGTGGGTGCTTGGAGCCGTTGTGAGGAGCTCTGCATCCTGTGGGGAGCACCCTTCGTGTGGCTGTGCGGCACAGAGAAGCAGGGCCCGCTTGAAAGCACGGCGAGACCTCCGGACGGTGGGGATGGGGAGCGGGACGCAGGCTTGCACCAGCTGTGGCTTGTGCAGCCCCTCAGAGTCCGTGAACGCTCACGCAGACATGCTCTGTCCCTCCCCGGACACCGTCGGCCCCCCCGGGACCTCGTTGGAAAGAGTTCTTGCTGTAGTTTTGAGTTTTAATTGCAACACCCCTCACTCTTTTGTCACTTCTATATACTCGATGTAGGAAAAATAGAAAATCAGAAAAATGGGGAAGGAAATGTTCACATAACTTTAACAAATCAAAGCTGTGGAAGAAAGGTGTCAGCTTTTTGCCACGCGTCTTTGTGGCTTGTGTGAGGAGACTCCCTGTGCAGCTGTGTCTGGCCAGGTGGACCCCAGGTGGCCCCTGGCTCCGCTGCTCTTGATCAAGTGCCTGACCGCCAGGCCCTCACACCCAGGCTCCTGGGCACTGTGGCGTGAGACGAGGCCTCCGGAACCATCGTGGGAGGTTGTGGCAGCTGGGTAGCAAGCCCTTGCCAGTGGAGAGCACTGGACGTCGTGGTGGGAAACAAGGCAGCCTTTGTTGTCCTCCCACGAGCACGCGTATTTCCAGGGAAGCCACGGGGCGGCTGACCATGGGCTTGTGCGAGGCATGTTCAGTCTGTTGTGCATCGGATTCCCAGGGCACGCCCTGTGGTGTGTGAAATAGGTTTCTTTCCACATATGGCAGAAGACAGGGAAAGGCCAGCAGGATGGAGGGAGACGCTGGTGGCTTGGACATGGGGCTGTCAGGGCAGGAGGGAGGAAGCCCCAGCTGGAGTGAAACTCTGTAGAGAAAGTGACCAAGGGAGGCCACGGCTCCCGCTGCTGAGGCGGGGCACCTGACGCCCAGCACTGTCCTGGCACCAGACGCAGGGAGCAGGCAGTCAAGTGAGTCCGACCCCACGGCCACGCTCAGGAGAGAAAGACCACACTCAGGACACTGTCCAAGGTACACAAGATGCCGGGAGGCCCTTTGTTCTGTGACGAAAGAGCATTTAGAGCAGTTGGTGGTGGTATGTCCTCTGTGTTCTGAAATTCCAGATGATCTGTGTTGGATTCTTGGCTTCTACCCCATGATTCTCCTCAAAGAAATTCTGTGTGATGTGTGTGCGTGTGTCTGTGTCGCAGGAGACGCAGTGCCTGTGCAGGTGTGTTTAGTGTGTGGATGTCATTAATCCATAGGGCTATGCAACAAAAGACACATTTAATAGAAATAAAACACACAAGACCGCTGCCTGGTCTGGGGTTCAGCATGATTGTGACCAAACCTTTTTATAGAATTTCCTTACCTGAAGGCACAACACTCTGAAACTTTAAAGATAACAGAATATTTTATTCCAATAGAATAAACCAGGAATCTCGGACTGTGCATGTGATCACGTGGCAGAGTAGAAGGATGTGTATTTTGACACTGATGTTTTGTCTCTTGTTCCCCCTGCTGCCAGCCCGTGTTACCTTGGGTGTCAAATGTGTCCATTCCATGCAAAACCACAGCCATTTCCCCAGGCAGTGTTGGGTCAAGAATACGCTTTTCTAGACCCACACAGCCCAGCTGGCTTGTCTGGACTTTTGTAGGCACTGGAATTGATGAAAATCACAGGGGGGGGAAAATAGACATTATGTCTTGTTTTCCTGACTTTGGGTTTTCTCACTGTGTCTTCTCCAGCTATCATATGTGTTCCCTGAATCTCATAGTGAGTTGCCAAATTTGAAATGCATCACCCAGTTGTCTGCATCTGGAACCAGTCAAGCAGTGGCTGTAGTTTGAACAAGTTATGTGTGCATGTAACATATATACATATATACATATATACAAGTATGTGCATGATGTATATCTTCGTACTTTTTGATACAATGTATTCATTTGTTAATTTTTAATTATATTTGATATAAATCAAAGGTTTGTTGCAAAACTTTATATTTAAGAAGTGTTAAAAACAAGTCCCAACCATGCAACCCAACTGGGACCTACTTAAAAAAAATTCTGTGATTGACTAGTTTGCTGCCTGAGTAATATTTATCAGCCAAACTTTGGATTCTGCTATTGTTTCTACAATGACATTTTGTATGAAGCAAAGTCCTTGGATTAAAATAAAAACTTAGCAAAAAATCAAAAACAAAACCCCACCATGCTGCCATTGGTATATGCAAGGGTGTGGGACTGGGGGTGCACTGCCAGGAGGGGTCAGAAGAAAGTGGGAACTGTTTTGTTTTGTTTTTTGAGACAGAGTTTTGCTCTCATCGCCCAGGTTGGAGTGCAGTGGCGCTATCTCGGCTCACTGCAACTTCTGCCTCCCAGGTTCAAGTGGTTTTCCTGCCTCGGCCTCCTGAGTAGCTGGGATTACAGGTGCACATCGCCATGCCCGGATAATTTTTGTATTTTTAGTAGAGACGGAGTTTCACCATATAGGCCAGGTTGATCTCCAACTCCTGACCTCAAGTGATCCGCCTGCCTTGGCCTCCCAAAGTGCTGGGATTATAGGCATGAGCCACTGCGCACAGCCTGCAATTTGTTTTCAATGCAAGTGTGGGATCAGGTAGAGAATGTGGTGAGGATCAAGGGAAGCACTTGGAAGGAGGAGGCAGATTTGACCTCCCTGGGGATCAGGGTTTGGGTTGGTTAGGATTATGGTGGTGGGTTGGGGTTGGGGTTGGGTAGATGGTGGGGGAGGCTGTGAGTTTGGGGCACAGAGCTCGTCTTAAGATGCCCCAATCATTCATTCACTTTGCAGTTAAAATGTCAGGGTATAGCTAGCTACATGCTGAAAAGGACAAAGGGGATATTCTTAAGAGAAACCTGGCACCATAAGTACAGATGAGGGCAGGCACAGTAGGTACAGACATGACCACTGTAGGACCTTCCTGGAGTGGCAGGAAGCCCAGCCCCAGCAGTGGATTCTGACTGATCACTGTAGGTGCATGTCAACCAGCAGTGAGGGGGTCCCACAAGCCCAGGTGGGGCAAGTCGGGGACTTAAGGCAGGAGCAGGAAAACCAGACAAAAGAGATGAAAACTTAAGGAATGTGAAGAAGCCCAACATAAAGCTCCCTGCGCAGGACCCTGGGTCTGTTTTCCTGAAGATCAGCCCACACCCCTCGAGCTGTACTTACTCTTTCTACACACTGCATTTTTTCCCCAATGAAGTTATCTGCTGTCTTTGTACTGCCTCTTGGTGAAAAAATCTTTCTTCCAAGTTAGGAACTGGGACGTCAGCTCTCCCCAGTATTAGCTCCATTTCAGTTTGAATTTCCAGAATTGACGGCCCTGAACAACCTGCGCTCCGACTTTAAGTGGTGTAGGAGGAAGCCAGCAGGGGGCGCCCAACTGTCACCCTGGGAGCAAGAGGGCCCTGCAGTGTCCCCAGTCGCCAGGAGGGGCACACGGGCACCACACCGTGAGCAAGAGGGCGCTGCAGTGCCCCGCCCGCCGGCAGGCGGCGCCCGAGCCCCGTTTTCAGGTTTGGAGGCACCGCCTCCAGCCTGCGCAGTCGGGTCCAGCAGCTTCCGGGCTGGGCCGGATGTGAGGGCGAAGCCATGTCCCCTCAGCACAGACGGGGCGGAGCGGGATGGGAGGGCACCGCCTGGCTTTGGGACAGCTCGAGGCCGCGTCCGTGGTGAGTGAAATCCTTCCTGTTTGCGGCGCTGGCTGCTGCGGGTTAGAGACCAGTAAGAACGGCCGGGTGTGGGAAACTGGAAGCCAAAGCCCATCTGGATTCTGCGCACCGAGGTTCTGGCGACTGCAGTGCGAGGTCCGCGGCGCAGCCTCGGAACACGAATGGAGCGTTCCTGCTGCAGGCGCGGCGTCCGCAATACGACGCGACACCCGCGGTGCTCGCGGCAAACGCCTGGGACGCTCACGCGGCGCCTCCATGCGGAACGTTCGTGTGAACCGCGGGCTCCCGGCGCGGCCCTGCCGTCCCGATACAGCGCCCGGAGTGATCAGTACTCGCAGCACAGCGGCTGTCGGGCCGGAGCTGCTCGGGCCCGGCCCCTGCCGTGCAGTTGTCGTGTCTGCGTCACGGAGGTGGAGTGGACGCGGTGGTTTTACAGCTTAGATCGCTTCCCGGTAATTCCAGACTTTCAGGGAACTTGCAGCGGGAGTATGGAGTTTTCTTTCTCTTTTCTCTCAGCGTCCCCAGCGGTTGTTGCTGCGCCAGATCTGCAGCTTCATAGAAAACACCCCGGTGTCTTTCGCCCAAAACAGGGACCCCTCCCAGGTAAGCGCTAGGTGACCCCAGTATAGGAGGCCACGTTTCTACCTGAGGGTGGGGTCCACAGAGGCCACGTTTCTACCTGAGGGTGGGGTCCACGGGGGCCATGTTTCTACCTGAGGATGGGGTCCACGGGGGCCATGTTTCTACCTGAGCGTCGAGTCCACGGGGGCCATGTTTCTACCTGAGCGTCGAGTCCACGGGGGCCACGTTTCTACCTGAGCGTCGAGTCCACGGGGGCCATGTTTCTACCTGAGCGTCGGGTCCACAGGCCCGTTTCACTTCGAAGCCGCCTCTGCTGGGTGGAAAATGTCTCTTTCCATCTGGGTCCTATTTTCCTTTTCTGGAGCCTTTGCAGAGGTGAAGAGCAGAGCTGTCCCCAGGCTGGGTCTGCCCAGTGGTTCCCTCTGGGCAGATGTAGATGCCCCACTTCAGGTGGGAATTTGCAGCCCCCTGGAGGAGCACAGGCCCACCCACGTGCCACAGAGATCTCAGCGTGATCGTTCCCAAAATCTCCTTTACAAATAAGTCTCATTCCGTCACTCTCCTGATTTAACTTTAACGATGGTTTCCCACTGGCTTCAGAACAGGGATCACAGAACTGACCTGGCTACCTGTCCCTGAAAGCTCCCACCTGCTGCCCTCTCCTGCCCAGTCCAGCCCAGTCCAGCTGCCTGCAGTGTGGTTCTCATCCACAGGGACACAGCAGGCCCTCGGGGTCTTGGGGACTCTGCACACATCCTTGAACTCGTCCACCAAACACCCCCTTATCAAATACCCTTAAGATTCTGTCCAGCTGTATCCTTGAAGTCACAGTGGTTATGATGTCTAACAGCACAAATATTCTAACGTGATTTTTTTAGACCCAAAAAAAAAAAAAAAGATCATCTGTGAGAATGACTCTTAATTTGTAAATCAAGGAAATAGATACGTAAAAGCCAAGTCCATATTTGGGATAATCAGTAAAGAAAAATAAATTCTCAATGCCGAATAAGAGACAAAGGGCACCACTGATTGTTGAAATTTCATAAGAGTTTACTGGACAGTATATTGCCTTGCAATATTCTCCATCCCTGTGTGTGTGTGTGTGTATGTGTGTGTATCACACACGTACCAGTTGCAAGATATTTCAGGTTTAAATACTCATGTTAACTTTTTTTTTTTTTTTTTTTTTTTT